CCCCCCTGTCTCTCTCCCTCTCCCCTCCCTGTCTCCCCCCCTCCTCCCTCCGCCCTGTCTCCCTCCCTCCTCCCTGTCTGTCTCCTTCCCTCCTCTCCTCCCTCCCTCCCCCCTCCTCCCTTTCTCCCTCCCTCTCCCTCCCTTTCCTCCCTTCTAACCCACCTGTTTTCATTCCAGCCTGGCTCAGCCAACCACAGTCAGCAAGCCGTCAAGTCACTTGCCTGTGAATTGTATACATCTTTGAGAGATTGAGGACTTAAAGCAAACTGTGTTGCATCTAATGCAAGCAGGACCAGATCTTCCCATAAGCCCACTTGGGTCCTCCTCTCCCTGGCTGTCCTTCAGATTGTCACAACCTTGATTTAACAAAGCTGCTCCTTGTCCTTGGTTGGAGGAATGAGTTACATGTTGGGCAAACATTTCTGCCTCTGGATTTGGTTGATTAAACCCAATTTTGGCCTTGAGTATACCCCCTGTCCCTGGTAGCCCCCAGCTCCCAGGAGGTAACATATTGATGATGCCAAGCAGCATAAACACCCGACTTGCATAGCAGACTATAGCCCACAACTCCTGAACTTGAGCGATCCTCCTGCCTCAGCCTCCCCTGTAGCTGGAACTATAGGCAGGTGCTGCCACAGCTGGCTGGGCTACTGTGTGCTGGTTGCTGGTTGTTGGCCTGTCTACTGTGAGTCTCTGGGGGGTCAGTGGCCTTGGCCTTTTACTGGCCTTGTCCCAGGGTCCAGTCTTTTTCTAGACTCCTCCGCTAGCACTCCTGTGTTTATCAGCTATGAGTCTTTATAGAGATGTCGAGCGTCCTGACCTCCAGTTCTCTCAGGATGAACATTTGGTTCCAAACCTACTGGATCTGATAGGGAGCTTGGGGTGGAGTTGGGGGGTTGGCACCTGTGAGAGCCAGGGCCTTTAAAGGCCCCCAGTGTTGCTGGGGGTCAAACTGGGGACTGTGCATGGCTCACTGAAGTTATGTCATCAATGCATTTCCCCTCTCTTGGCCGCCGGTTTTATGGGATTAAATATTTTTGAGTGTGAGCCAGGAGGGCTGTGCACACCTGCTACTCCAATTTTATGTAGCAGGAAGGTAATGAGTTCCAGGTCAGCCTGAGCTATATAGGAAGACCCTGTTTCAGCCCCTCAAAATTTCACATTAAATGTGTCTCACTTGGACACTGGCATGCACCCAGCCCGGGCTAGTCTTTCTCGTCACTGCGGAAAGTCCTCCATCCCTCAGCACCTCCGCCTGCTGTCTTTTGCTTTGGTTAGAAGGACTTTTCCAGAGCTTTAAATAGATGCCCTCATACACGTGTGCTTGGTGTATCTGATTTCTCTCACTGTGTTATTGATACCGGCCACATGGTGTTTCTGAGAGGAACTCGTTCCTGTCAGTGTTGAGTGTTATTTGAATGGACTGTGATTTGTTCACAGTTCACCTGCTGATATTTGGGTCATTCCCAGACACGCTCCCGTGCATACTTATGTGAAGCGGGTATGGCACATGCTGCCTTTCTCTAGGGTCCATGCCAAGGTGGGTGGCTGAGTTGTGCTAAGTACCTGTTTACTGTCATGAGCAACAGACAGGCCATCCAAAGTGCCTTTCCATTTTGCATTCTACCCAGCCACACATGATCTCTGCTATCAGCAGCTATGGGGAGTTCCTGGGTACACTGTGCACATGGGGACACGGGGTCCCTCACAGCTATGTGTGTGAGTGCTCTCTTTCTCTCTCTCTTTCCCTCTCTCTCCCCCTACCCTCCAGTGTTGCTGCTTCGGTGCCTTCCTGGCTTGACCACACCCTCTGTGCTGGCTCTTGGTCCCGTCATTTGTTCCCTTCCATAGCTCTTCTGATCCAGGTGTAGGGAGGTCAGATTATGACTTAATTTTCATTTTGATGGTGACTCCTGACTCTAAACATCTGTTTGCTACCTGATGAAGCATTTGTCTGTATCACTTCCTCATTTTTATTGGGGCATTTGTATCACCGTTCAGCTTGGGAAGCCTTTTAACGTGTGTGCCCTCATCAGACATACGTGTTCAAATAGCTCCTTTTAACGTGTGTGTGCCCTCATCAGACGTATGTGTTCAAATAGCTCCTCCCAATCTGAGGGTTGTTTTTCATTTTCTTTTTTTTTTTGGTCTTTTTGAGACAGGGTCTCCCTGTAGCCCCAGCTGTCCTGGAACTCACTATGTAGACCAGGCTGGCCTTGAACTCACAGAAATCTGCCTGTCTCTGCCTCCCCCAATTGTGGGATTAAAGGCATGTGCCACCATGCCCGGCCTTGGCTTGTTTTTTTAAAGACAGGATCTCATGTAGCCCAGGCTAGCCTTGAGCTCTTAATCCTCCTGCTTCCACCTCCCAAGTGCTGGAATGACAGAAGTTCCAGTACATCTGGCTTAATGATGCCTTTGACAAACAGCAGTGCAGTGCCTACAGAGGTCAGAGGAGGGCATTGAATTCCCTGGAACTGGAGTTACAGACAGTTGTTAGCTGCTGTCCTGGTTTGTTTCTTCATTGCTGTGACAAAACACTCTGACCAGTACCAACTTGGGGAGGAAAGGGTTTATTTGTCTTACATCTCCCAGGTCGCACGCAGTTCATCAGGGAGTCCAAGGTAGGAACTCAGGGCAGGAACTTGGAGGCAGGAGCTGGAGCACAGGCCATGGAGGAACGCTGCTTACAGGCTTGCTCCCTTGGCTCCTGCTCAGCCTGCTTTCTTATGCAACACAGGCCCACCTGCCCAGGGGTGGCACCACCCACAGTGGGCTGGGCCCTCCCACATCACTCATCAAGAAGATGCCCTTCAGACATGGCCACAGGCCAGCCCAATAGAGGCAATTCCCTGATTGAGGCTCCCTCAACCCAGGTGTGTCAAGTTGACACTAAAGCTATCCAGCACAGCTGCCATGTGGGTGCTGGGATTTGAACCCAGGTCCTTTACAAGAGTAGCCAGTGCTCTTAGCTGCTGAGCCAGCTCTCCGACCTCTGAAAAGAAAAAGGTTTGGATGTTTTGTCTTTTTTGAGTGGCTCATGCTTTCTGTACTCCCTCCAAGAAATCTCTCCTCTCTCTCCCAAGATCATGAATGACATTTCTTATTCTCTCCCAGAAGTTTTTATAGATTCAGCGTTTATAAATTTAGATCTATAACCCATTTCAAGATAATTTGCTGTGAAGTCAGAGTTAAAGTTTATACTTTTTCCATATGGATAGGCACTTGTTCGGTGATGTGTGTGGAAAAGATGATTCGTTCCCCTGTAGCATTGGAGTGTTGTTGTTATGTCTGCCCTGGCTGCTCTTTTCTGACCTATCTTTAAACCCATGCTTGCTGCCTGCTCATCATCGACTTTGAGTATGTCTTAAAAGAGTGTCTTAGAGTGTCTTCTAAAGTTTCTCTTCTTTTTCAGCCATTTTGGCTCTTATGGTCCCCCCCTCCCCCT